ATACTATACGTAGTCACCTTTATAGAACTCAGTTCAGATAAACTCACCTAGAGTATGAAGCAAATAAATTAAAAAAACAAACATATAAACATTGTAGCCAGGTTATGGTAGCCCATGTTTAATCCCAGCACTTGGGAGGCAGAGGTGAGTGGATCTCTGTGAGTCAAGGCCAGCCTGGTCTACAGAGCTAGTTCCAGGACAGCTAGCGCTGTTACACAGAGAAACCCTATCTCAACAGCCCAACCCCCCAAAAAAAACAAAACACAAAAAAACAGGTCAGATCATATCATATCTTCAACCATACACCCTGTACTCAATTCTTAATTCCTCTAGAAGAAAATGGAAACTTGACTTTCCAAGAGCCTGATCCCTTCCTGACTGCCTGCTAGTCCTGTCACTCCTGCTTTTGTGTTTTGAGGTAACCTTCAAAGCATTGCGACTGGTGTGTTTAGAAGGCTCTGAAGGGGAAAGATCGGGGACAAAATTGTCAGTTCTGGCTGGCCTGCAACAGTAGAGGCAGGGATGATGATGGCTTTCGACTATGATGCTGCTGTGGAGTGGCTAGATTGGGAGTTTACTATGGTGGTTGTTGAACTGTTGGATTTTTTTGTTTATTTTTGTCTTGACATGAGGTCTTGCTGTATAATTTAGATCAGTTTAAAACTTATCTACTGTTTTAACATTTTAAATGCTGGGATTACAAGCATGTGCCACCACCCCTACCTGGTACTGTCAAGTTATCCTAAACACATTTTTTCTCATTGACAAGCCTTATAAATGTGACCCACACTGGACCAACAACTTGTAAATGATTTTCAGCATCAAAGGAAAAAAAGTGCTGCTATTGTTGTTCTCTGTTTCTTGTGTAAAGTTTAACATTGTGTTCTAGAAATTCTCTACTGCCTTCCTACCCCACTACCCAGACACTGTTGGTTGGTCAGATCAGTCATGTAATAAAGGAATGCATTCCAACTTTTTTTTTTTTTTTTAACCAATATGGGTTCCAAGCCACAAGGTGCCACAAGCCTACATTCAGGTAGGACTTCCTTCCTCAGCTAAACCTAATGAAACATCTTCACAGGCACACATTTAGGAGTGCCTCATTACTGACCTAGGTGTTCCTTATTCCAGCCAAGCTGACTATTGGAATTAACCATCACATGTGAGCAGATAAAAATAACCTCAGTGTAGCATTCTGTACTTCTTCAAATAGGCTATGCACTGATATTAATTCCTATATTTTCTTATTCAATACTGTATCAAAATGTGCATGTGCTTCATACAGATGATTTCAGCTAAATGGAATATGTAGGGAAAGTTGCTTTGAGCCAGGGAGAATGTTCCCTGCATTAGGTTGTCACTCTCCTCTGACTCTTTGGCACCAGATTTCTGAATGGCTGGTGAACCATTAACAAAAACATACTGCTTTTACTGTGTAAAGGTTAATTTTGATTTTTTTCTGGTGAAGAAGTATCCTAATTATTGTGGACATAATTACATTTCACCATTTCAAATATCATTTAGTTTTCTGGCTGTAGTAGTGTAATATGTCAGTATCTTATCCATGATTTGTCAATTCCAGAAGTAGCAAGAATTCTGTAATTCTTTTGTACTTATTTTAATTTAAATTAATGTGAAGAACCAGGTCTTTATAAAGTGTTATTCCCTCTTTTCTGTCTCCTAATGATGAACCAGTCTGCCTTCATCTTAGGTTTAAAAGCCATCTATTGTAAGGACAAACTAGGCTCATTTCTGCTTATGATTAAATCTGTTTCTCAAGTATCAAGCTGTGCCCCATCTGTAACCTTAACTACAAATGGTTCTGTACTGCCTGTTCAGGAAATAACAACCATGTCTATGTTCAAAAAGTTGTATTGACTATTTTTGCAACTCTACCTTTGTTTCAAAAGGTTGCTTGTTGTGGGATATTTAGTTGCACTGTGAAACTCCCAAGACTGTGCCAATAAAATTAACCTTGGATCGTGGGCAGAGCCAGCAACTAGTTGACAAGAACTAGCCATGGACAATATGGAGAACCCAGGATTATGGTCAGAGAGATACACAAGAAGGAGTAGGGAGGGATTTATGGATTTTCGGTCTTTTTTGTTTGGGACAGGTGGAGAGATGTTTCTCTTGCTGGGTCTCTGGCCAAAAAGGAAATTCAGCTGGCTGCTTTTCAGCTTCTCTGATCTAGCAGGTTTTTACCCCAACATCCCACTCCCGAGTCTTTATTGGTACACAGAACAATAGAGACTTAGTTAAAACCTGTATTTGGTGACCTCGGGCCAGGCCGTTGCCAGTAGGAATCCTGCCAGGCTATAGTCTGAGCAGCAAGGTGCTGACTGTGGGGCTATGGGGTGCAGACAGTAACTAAAATATCAGTAGATTCAGGTGCAGCCACTAAATTGAAAGAAAAATAGCAATTGTTATGACCACTTACTTAAGACAACCTTGATATGTTCTGCTTCTGTAACTCCGCCTATTTTTCCCACAAACTCCCCTCCCCCCCCCATTTAGAAACCCCTATCCCTGAGCTATAAAAGCTCTTATCTTCCCCATGTTCAATGATGAACTCTTGAACTGCCTTTAGGGGGAGACAACCCATGTACATGAATAAAAAAGCTTGCTTTAATTAATTGCTTGCTTTCATTAATGTGGCCATGATGATTTGGGTCAGTGGTCTTTTTCCTGGATCTTAGGGATTAATTCTACTTGGAAGTGTCTGATGGAAGGGAGGAAGGAGTTTTGAGAAAGCTAAAGAACTCCATAATTGTTACATAAAAAAATAAAAGACCCAGAGACTGATATTGGGGTTCAAGCTTCAAGCTGAATATCAAAAAAGCAATGCAGCCAGCCACTCTTACCTCTCCCTCAGCTCAGACCAAAGGGGGATCCTCAGACTGCTCCTGACTTCACTGCTCCTCAGATTCACTCAGACTGCTATATTTTCCTCAGCGTGGCTAGAGACTAACTCTCAGACTGAATGCCTCTACCTTTTATACCTCTCAAATCCTAGGATTAAAGGCATGAGCTCTGATTCACTCTCTGATAGTTCAGAGTGGTCTTGGACTCAGAGATCCTTCTACTTTTTCATCCTGAGTCTTGGGATTAAAGGTGTGTGCCACCACCACCTTGTTTCTATAGCTAACTAGTGTGCCTGCTTTGCTATTTTGATCTCCAAAAATCATAAACAATATATAACCACACTTAGTACCAAAACTGAACCTATGAAGTGTGCCTGAAGTAAATCATATTTGTTCCAGTCTATGCCACATATGGTTTTATACTTTTAAAGTTTAAGAGAAATCACCCAAAAAGAGAAATGAAGAGTGCTTTACACCTTGCCTTCCAGAAGACTTCCTGAATTCAGAGGGATGAGAAATGATCTTAGTGAGCCCCAGTGATGTTTTGTTGTTGTTGTTTTAAATCTCTAGTCAGCACCTCCTTTGATGTAGTTCCCTGTAATTTTAGACCTGGTAAAGAGATTTTCACCCCTTTCAATTATATTCTCACTTGATTTTTGCTTTCTATATTGTCTAGTGATACTGCTCAAAAAGAATAAATGTAAATTGGACTCAGACAACATAGGTTTTTCTTTATGTTGATCCTTTAATGATTTATTTTGAGTGTTTATTAAATCTCATTTAATAATTACATGCTTTTTTTGCTGTTTGTTTTGTTTGTTTCTTTTTTGTTTGTTTTGGACAGGTTCTTTCTATTATGTAGCTCTGGTTGTCCTGGAACTCACTGTGTAGACCAGGCTGGCCTTAAACTCACAGAGTTCCCACCTGTCTCTGCCTCCCAAGTACTAGGAGTAAAGGTGTGTACCACAATGCCCAGCTACATGCTGAATTTTGCTCAACTTAAAAAAATTATTTTTTGGGAGTGGCATTTCATTATACTGCCCACAAAAAAAGTTGGCCTTGTTCATGGGTTTAAGTAGCCTTCCTGCCTCATTCTTCCAAGTAGTAGCACCCTCATCCCAGCTTGTATAGCTTCTAAAATAATTGATCACCTTGTCCTTAAGTAAATCAGCTGTTCTTACAGTGTTAGGTGTAGCCATTAGGCAGTTTCCCCACACACAATAGATTGTAAGCCCCAGACTGAGCTACATGGTTAGATAATGCTGTATTGTTTCCAGGTAGATTATAGATTTATGGCACTTAAAAATGTAGTTTAGTTTTAGAATTTAACTGATATATTCATTAGGTGGGATCAAAACTGAGCTATGACTGAGAGTTTCCTGGTTTGCCAAATCTTTTGATTTGGTCTCAGAACAGTCTTTGGAAATTCTTTTTTTTTAAATAATTCATTTATTTATTGTATGTGTGCATTTATGCCATGTTCCATGGCATACATGTGGAGGTTGGAGGACAACTTGTAGGAGTTGGTTCTCTCCTTCTACCATAGGTCCTGGGAATTGAACTCAGGTTGTCAGACTTGGCAACATGTACCTGTTCTCACTGAGCCATCTTGCTGGCCCTGGGAATTCCTTATCCATTCAGATTTCTTTTTTAAAGATTTCTTTTTTAGTTTGTATTATGTATATTTCTGTGGGGGTATGTGCATATTAGTACAAATGTTTTCAGAAGTGATGGGATCTTGTGGAGCCTGGAGTAATAGTTGGTTGTGAGCCACCAACACAAGGTGCTGGGAACTTGGATCTTCTGCAAGAGCAATACATACTCTAGACTGCTGAGCCATCTCTCTAGTCTCAAACAGATTGATTTAGTGATGTTCTGGAATAGTAGGCCTGTTGCATGTCATAGAGAACCCTGGGTGCTCAACTCAAGGGTGCCATCAATTCTTGGCCTTATTGTCATACCCACTAGTTTTCCTCCTCTTTCCATGTATTTATATTAGAGGAATTGACGGTGCTGTTGTGTTCCTTGGGATGCAAAGGATGTTTGTGTATGTATGTGTATGCACAGTTTGCTGTGTGTGTGTGTATGCACCCAATTATTAATGCTGCTATATGTTTTGTTTTTTTATCTTTGCAGTGGATACAATCAAGTGGTATTTAAAATCTTTCTGGAACTAAAGACATGAGGCTGAAGATATCTCTCCTAAAAGAACCAAAGCATATCCTTTTAATACTGTAAACCTTACTGCTCTCAACTTGTTATGATACTGTCATAGGTTTTCTTCTGCTATTTTTAGTCTACTTAATGGTTACTTTTCATTTCTTGAATGTTATTTTATAGACAAATTGTTTTCAAAATATCAAGACTAAAGTTGTAGGTATTTCCCCAAAATGTACTACGAGCCCAAAGTCTTACTTTCAAATATTTACTGACATTTTTATTACTCTACTTCTTAAGTATTTAAAAATAATCTTTTATTTAATCTAATAGGATCTTAAAGTGAATCTTTAACAAAATCTATATTAATTGGCCAGCCAGTAGTATTGCACACCTTTAAGCCCAGTACTTCGGAGACAGAGGCAGATGGATGTCTGAGTTCAAGGCCAGCCTGGTCTACAAAGTGAGTTTCAGGACAGCCAGAGCTACACTGAGAAACCCTGTCTGGAAAAACAAAAGCAAACAAGAAGTCTGAATAATCTGCCAATGCGATCTCACACATATGTGCTCATTCAGTTTTGCTTTATTTCTTTCTACTCCTGAGAAAATAGAAGACAAATTTATCTGAACAGTAAGTCTTTTATTACTTCACAAAGGAAACCAGCAGTTATTAATATTTTCTTCGATATACAACTCTTGTTTATTGTCAGAGAGACCCTTCAATGGAGTTCATGGAGGTATAATTAGTCCCCCCTCTTCTCACTCTTTTCAATTCAATCAAATCTCAAGGTATTTCCTGTGGACTCTATTGCGGATTTGTGAGGGAATAAGAAACTTAATGTGGGGTGAGAGTGTTTGAATTTATCATCCTGGAAGCATTCAAAGATCATGTTTTAGTAATTTATTTGAGGCTTGTTTGTTTGCGTGCTTGCTTGCTTGTTTATTTTGTTGATGGGGATTGAACCCAAGCCCACCATGAGCATATTAAACTCATATTCCACCATGGAACTAAATTCTAAGCCCCCCAGTTTTGGCTTTTCAAGACAAGTTTCTCTATGTAACAACCTCGCTGTCCTGGAACTTGCTCTGTAGACCAGGATGGTCTCGAACTCACAGACATAAATAGCAGCTGGGCACTATCTCTCACTCTACCTCAGACTGAAAGGTGATCCTGCCTCCATCAAAACTCAGACTGTAACTTCTCAGCATGGCTGGAGAATTCTGAGACTTCAGTGTCTTCCTGTCCTCAGTGTGCCTGGAGAATGAATGCCTGATACTGACTACTGAAGACCCTGCTCCTATCTTTTATAACCCTCTAGTGCTGGGACTAAAGGTGCTGAGATCATCTTTGTGTGAGCTGTTTCTCTTTAGGACTGGATCAATCTTGTGTAGATCTGGGTGGTCTTGAACTCACAGAGATCTGTCTACCTCTTAATCCTGAGTCCTAGGATTAGAGGAGTGTACCACCACCTCCGTGCTTCTGGCTGCTGGGATTAAAGGTGTGTATCACCATTGCCTGTTCTCTATAGCTTGTGGCTGACTTTGCTTTCTGAATCCCCAGGCAAGCTTCAATAAATCATAAATAATATATCACCACACACACATGTATACAATCACACATAGTAAATAATAAATATAATTTTAAAACTTAAAACACTGTAAGTTTAAACATTAAACATAAATAACTAAGGGCTGGGAGTGAACCCATCATACACAGAGCCATAGGTTTATTCTTGGGACCATAAGTGAAAAATAAGAATAGGTAACTAAAATGAAAGCAGGAGAAATGGTAAGATGGTAGTTCCAGCTGTTAGGCTCTAGCATCCTTAGACGGTTACCAGCATAATGTGTAACTGAAAGAGACAGTTCACTGTTAGAGTTCAGTCTTCCTAAAAATTAATGTTTTTAGCTTATAAAATATTATGTGTTACCAGACATTGTGGCTCCCTAACTCTGTATCTTAGTTAGGTTTTTATTACTGTGATAAAACACATGACCGAAAACAACTTGGGGAGAGAAGAGTTTATTTTATCTTGCGGTTCCACATCACAGTCCATCACTACTGAAAGACAGGGCGGGAACTCAAAACTGGAGGAACCTGGAGGCAGGAGCTGATGCATAGGCCACAGAAGGATGCTGCTTGCTGATTTGTCTCTCACGGCTTTCTCAGCCTTGCTTCCTTCCTATGGCACCCAGGACGACCAGCCCAGAGGTAGCATTGCCCACAGTGAGCAGGGCCTGTCTACATCTGTCATCAATCAAGAAAAATGTATCACAGGCCAATCTGGTGGGTCATTTTCTTAAAATTTTGAGGTTCCTTCCTTCCAGATGACGACATAGATCTCTGAATTAGCCTTCTTCTGACTTCCAAAGGTACCAATCATGTATATGGGGCACAGACATACATGCAAGCAAAACATACACAGCAAATAAATCATATATGTTAGATAAATCTAAAACAGTTTTAAAATTATAATATATATGCATTCTAATAACTTAAGTAATACATATGTGACTGTATGTATCCTTCGTCCCCTTTCTTCCTGCCTATCTCCCAACATCATTTCCTACCTTTTGACTTTTACTTACTGATTTTGAGTGTTTGTATGTATCTTTTTGTTTGTTTGTTTGTTTGTTTGTTTTTCTGAGACAGGGTTTCTCTGTGTAGCTTTGGAGCCTATCCTGGCACTCGCTCTGGAGACCAGGCTGGCCTCAAACTCACAGAGATCCGCTTGCCTCTGCCTCCCGAGTGCTGGCATTAAAGGCGTGCGCCACCAACACCCGGCTTGTATGTATCTTTTACCATGCTTAAGGAATATCTTCTATGGCAAATTCTATTCCCCCTCTGTCTGTCTTTCTTTAATTTCCATCCTTACAACTTGTTTGGAAGACATTTTCCTTTATATGGAAAAAATGTTAAAAGTTACATAATGAGCTGAGTGGTGGTGGTGCAAGCCTTTAATCTCAGCACTTGGTAGGCCGAGGCAGGCAGATCTCTGAATTCAAGGCCAGCCTGGTCTACAGAATAAGTTCCAGAACAGCCAAGGCTACACAGAGAAACCCTGTCTTGGAAAAAAAAGAGAAAAGAAAAAAAAAAAAAAACCACAATGCAAAAATACATGGAGAAACTTGAAAACATTTGGCTACTTTACTTTTCATGATTCACATCTTGAATGCCTTTAAAGACTGAAGCCTTTTTTGCTTGGGTCTCCTTAACACAACACCACATCAGGAATTAGTGAGCTGTGTAGGTTGGACAACGGCTGAGGAGCTGTACTCATGCAGCGATGATCACCAGATAGTGAAGTGGAACTTGCTAACCAGTGAGACCAGTCTAATAGTAAAGCTGCCTGATGACATCTACCCGATAGATCTTCACTGGTTTCCCAAAAGTTTAGGCATGAAGAAGCAGACACAGGCAGAAAGTTTTGTCCTCACAAGTTCTGATGGTAAGATTTGCTTGTTTTATTGGTATTTTGCCTGCATGTATGTCTATGTGAGGGTGTTTGATCCTAGAGTTAGAGACAGTTGTGAGCTGTCATGTGGGTGCTGGGAATTGAACCCAGGTCCCCTGGAAGAGCACTCAGTGCTCTTAACTGCTGAGTCATCTCTCCAGCCCTCTGCCAGTAAGTTTTCAATGAATGTCCTATGCACATTGATATATTGAAAATATAGTATAGCACTATGAAATGTGCCTGGAGTTGTTTTACAAAACTGCTATTTGACATGGATACACTGTCATAGGCACATTTTATTTCCTGTATGACTTTGGTGATTTTGAATGATTCAGGCCTGGGTTTTTGTTTTTGTTTTTGTTTTTTTCTGTTTGTTTGTTTTGCTTTTCAAGACATGGTTTCTCTGTGTAACAGCCCTAGCTGTACTGGAACTCACTGTAGACCAGGCTGACCTCAAACTCAGAGATACTCGCCTGCTTCTGCCTCCTGAGTAGTGGGATTAAAAGCGTGCGCCACCATCACCTGGCTTTTTATAGAACGCCCCTTAATTTGTCTTTTTCACTGTTTCTTTATGATTTGATTCAGCTTACAAGTTTTTAGTGGGAATACTAGGAGACTCATGGTGTTGATTTGAAATACTATTATGATGTTAATGCCTTACCTGACAGCAAGTGCTTTCTAAATTAATCTACTATGATGTTACTATTTTCTCCCCCACTTTTTGATTTGTTTCACTTTGTTTACGAGTGTTTTGCCTACATGTATGTATGTGCACCACATGTATGCCTGATGCTTGCAGAGGTTAGACGAGGGTATGCAATGCCCTGGAACTGGTATTGAACTACCATGTGGGTATTGAGAAGTGAAGCTGGTCTTCTGCAAGAACAACAAGTGCTCTTAGCCACTGAGCCATCCATCTCTCCTGTCTCTATTTTCTCCCTTTTAGTAACTTGTTTATGAAAATACATTTGAGACTACATAAACGTATTCTGTTTCTTCTTAGACTTCCTCCCATTCTAAAAATCTCCTTATGGTTCTTGGCTAGATTATTCTCAGAGAAGCTGCCAAATGATAGCTTTTCTATCTCTATAATCCTATCCCGTGTTAAATAGTTGGTAATCTGCTTCAAGGAAAATTTTCTGTGCCATGGCCATTTGTCTTACTTGGTTTAATGTTAGGTTAGCCTCATAGATGTTTATTTTATTTCTGTTACTATAATTTCTTAATCTTGATTTCGAAATCGTTCCATATTTGGCCACTGAGAGCCCCATTGGTGGAGCTAGCTACACTGATTTTTGTTTTTGTTGTGTACATGTATTCATCATTTCTTGAGCACTTCCTTACTGGCACAAGATGTCCCAAACTAATCTTGTAGTTCTTAGTCCCATTTTCTAAATCAGCCATTTTCCAAACAGGCCTGTTTTTAGATGGTTAATGATATTTAAAGGCCAAGATAGGGACACTGCTTGTAGTATTCCTTCTAATGGGGTGTGTCTACTCTTCAGACTCTCCATCAAACAGCAGTATGACATGGGATGACAAATGTAAACTCCAAAAATTAGGGTCATTCATATGGCTCAGTGGGTAAAGGCACTTGTTGCCAAGCCTGATGGCCTGAATTCAATCCCTAGAGCCCACATTGTGGGAAGGAGAAACTGACTTCTGCAAGTTGTCCTCTGACCACCATATGCATTCTTTGGTACATGCATGCCCCTCTCCCCAATAAATAAATGTAAAAAATTATTTTTAGATGCATGTCAGTAGTCAGTTCTTTATCACTTTCTATCTAAACCTTGAATATATTTTTCTAACACCAATTCTAATTTAACATCACAGAGTTTTAGTTTTTCTTTTTCTGATACTTGGAAACAGTGAGGAAGTACAGTTATCATTATTAATATATACACTTGTTCATTTAATTCTGTGATATATAATTTTCAAGATTAATAACTCAGACTAGACTACTATAAAAATTAATGTAAGTAATCCCAGCACTTGGGAGGCAGAGGCAGACAGATTTCTGTGAGTTTGAGGCCAGCCTGGTCTCCAGAGAGTGCCAGGATAGGCTCCAAAGCTACACAGAGAAACCCTGTCTCGAAAAAAAACAAGAAAAAAAAAAAAAGAATTATGACATTATTTGCTCTTATGCCTCTAGTGCCTAATAAGTAATTATTAGTTAATTAATGCTAATTAATCTAGTAGGAACTCAACAAATGTTTTAGTATAAGTTAATTTAATGAAGTAGATTCTCACAGATAATTTCTTTTAGGTAAATTTCATCTCATTTCCAAGTTAGGACGAGTGGAAAAAAGTGTAGAGGCTCACTGTGGAGCTGTGCTCGCAGGAAGATGGAATTATGAGGGGACTGCATTAGTTACAGGTAAGTTCTCTGCAAATTTGCCTCTTTATGCTGTGCTGGGATCAAAACCAGGGCCCTTCACATACTAGGCAAATGATCTACCGCTGAGCAATATCTTCCACATCCAAAGTAACATTTTTAAATGAATTTGTAAAGAGAATGTTTCAAAGAAAATATTTTCATTGCTATGCTGTGATAAAATATTGTGACCAGAAACAACATCTGGGATGAGAGGGATTGATTGAGCTTAAGAGTCCAGGTTAATAGTCTATTTTTGTGGGGAAGTCAAGTCAGGAACTCATAGAATAAAAATAACTAAATTAAAAAAAAAACCTCAATAAATTGTATTCACAATCAAGAGCAGAAAGAGATCAAGCACTTCACCAGCTCTTTTTTGCTGTTCATAGTTCTGGGTCCAGCCATGAAGTGGTGCTGCCCACATTGGGCTGAGTCTTCCCACATCATTTAACAATCAAGATAATCCCCTACAGGCATGCCCCCTGGCCAACTAGACCTAGATAATTTCTCAACAAATTCTCTTCCCTAGATGGGGCAAGTTGACTTTTAAAACTAACCATCATACTAGAACTGTTACACAGAGAAAGCCTGTCTCAGAAAAACCGAAACAAACAAATAAAAAAACCCAAATCAAAACAAACCCAAAAAAGTAAATATCATGAATTCATTTAGCAGTAGCATATTTCACTATTTAGTAGCAAATAATTGTCACAGCACCAATCTAGACTGCTGTGTAAATGATATTCAGAATATTTTCTTTTTTTTTCATTTTCTGTCTAGAGACAGAGTCTTGATATATAGTACAGGCTGGACTGGTATTCATTTTGTATGTCATTCTGGTCTCATATTTAGCAATCATCCTGCTTCAACCTTGTGAATGCTGGAGCTACAGTAGAATACCACTATGTCCTTTTCTTGAGTATCATATTGTTACTTTTATTAATGAATTTTGGAGAATATTCTATCAAAGAAGGCTTTTAGAATAATCAAGTTCACCATGCATGATGGTGCAGGCCTTTAATCCCAGCATTTGGGAGGCAGAGGCAGCTGGATCTCTGAGTTTGAGGCCACCCTGGACTACAGAGTGAATTCCAGTATAGAAGCTAGTGCTACATAAGAAACCCTGTCTCAAAAAACTAACAACAAAACAAAATAAAAGCTCTCAAGTCCCTAGAGTAGATAAAAGTTTCAAGTTTTTAAAAATTCCAAAATTGAAAATATTCTCATATAACTTAGCTTTATCTCTCTTCTCTCTCCCATCCCAGCCCTACTCCAGGTAGGACTTAACTGTATTTACTGTATTAGTCATCCATTGCTGTATAATGAGTTACTCAACACTTACAACAAGCATTTCTATGGCCTGGGAGCACCTTTAGTGGGTGGGTATTTCTGGTTTAGTGTGTCATGAGGTTCCTTCAAGTTGTAACATGTGGCTGCAGTCATAGGAAGGCTTGATTGTGCTGGAAGGTCCACTTTCAGCTTGGCTTACGCACATGATGCTGGCAGGAGACCTTAGTAAGATCTTTGGCTTTGGCAAGCGACCTTAATTCCTTGCCACATAGGCAATTCCATAGGGCTGATGGAGTAGTTTTATAAAATGGCATCTGGCTTCCCAGGGTTCCAAAAAAATAGCAGGTTAGAAGCCACAGTATCTTTTCTGACTCACCCTCAGAAATTATACTCTGCCATTTTCATCCCACTCTGTTCTTTAAAAACAAGTCACTAAGTACAGACCACACTGAAGCAGAGCAAGGATAAAAGCTGAGCCCCCTGAAAAAAGGAATACCAAAGACTCTGTGCAAAGACTCTGTGTTTTAAATCTATCCCTTAGGCCTCTTTAGGAGGATTTTAAAAAAATTGTTATTATTGTTTTAATGACATGTCCTCTGTGTCACCTGTACCTTTACTTCTTTTCCTATGGCTTCTTTTTCAGCATATAAATATATGTAGATGTGAATTATTTTAAAAATTAGGCAGGAAATATAAATCCCAGGTTCAGTAGTATTCATTTACTATGTGCAAGGATCTAGCTTTGATCACTAATTCCACAAAAATAAAATATAATAACTAAATAAAAACAAAAATCCTGCTGGGTGTAGTGGTGCATACCTTTAATTCTCATACTTGGGAGGAAGAGGCAGGTGGATCTCTATGAGTTTGTAGGCCAGCCTGGTCTACATAGTGAGTTTCAGGACAACCAGAGCTACATAGTGAGACCCTGCCTTGAAAAAAACTCAAAAAACAAACAAACCAAAACCAAGACCAACCAACCAACCAGCCAAACAAACAAACAGAAATGCCTATCTTAAATGACTTTCTGTAGCCTCGGGCTTTTCTTTGCTTTTCAGTTGAGATGGTCACCAGTGGGTCTCATTATTTTACCCATTTCTTCTGCTCCCTGGTGGTCAACTGCATTAGATAATACACTGAGGATACTTTCCTTGGAGTTCTAAGTGGAGATTAGAGTGACAATGGAAGTAGCATTTGAGTAACATATTCCTAAGTTTTAAGGAAAAAATAAAATTTTGATTATGGAAGTTAGGTTTTGTTGATCAAAGTTTTTTCATGTAATTTCTTTTTAAATCTACTGTTAAAACTTACTCTATTACACTTAGAATGAATTTTATCCGAATTTTAAACATGTAGATGTTTATATATGCAAGTGTAAATGAGATTATTTTCTACAGATAATTTTTTTTGTCCTTCACAGTTGGAGAAGATGGACAAGTGAAAATCTGGTCAAAGACGGGGATGCTTAGGTCAACATTAGCTCAGCAAGGTATGCTTTACAACATTAGCTTAGCAAGGTATGCTTTACAACATTAGCTCAGCAAGGAATGCTTTACAACTGGTCATTTAATTTCCAAGGTTGTACAACACACATGTCTCAACTTTTTTTTTTTTAAATAAATAATCTGTTACAGGGCTAGAGAGATGGCTAAGAAGTTAAGAGCATTTACTGCTCTTGCAGAAAATCTGGGTTCAATTCCTAGCACCCACATGGCAGCTCACAACCATCTGTAAGTTCAGTTCCAGAGAATTTGATACCCTCTTCTGACTTCCAAGTGCACTAGACATGCACATGGTACACATATATACATGCAGGCAAAATATTCAGACATATAAAATGATACAATAAATTTAAGAAAATACTTTTTTTTTTCTAAAAAAAGGAATCTATGATAGTGGTTGAAATTGACTTTGGTCACACTTAAAAACTTGAATTTTCTTACTTCTCTTTGAATTTAGGAACATTTTTTAAAAAGACTTACTCATTTTATGTATGTGAAAGTTTTTACTTGCATGTTTGTTTGTGCACCGTGTGTGCCTGGTACCTGCAGAAGTCAGATGAGGGCAAGGGTGTCAGATACCCTGGAACCACAGTTACAAGTGGTTGTGAGCTACCTTGTGGGAGTTGGGCCTTGAACCTGGGTCCTCTGCAAGAGCAACAAATGCTTATTAATGGATTTGCTATCTCTCCAGCGTATATATATATATATATATATATATATATATATATATATATATATAATTATTATTATTATTATTCCATATATGTATTCATTTATTTGTGGGTTTCTTCATCCGAAGGTGCACATGTGGGAGTCATAGGTCAATTGTGGGAGTTAGTTTTCTCATTCTACCATGTGGATTCCAGGTATGGGACATAGGCCACAGGCTTGGTGGTATCTTTTCCTGCTGAGTCATCTCATTGCCCCATACTTTTTCTTACTTTCTGTGATGCCTGATGGTCCATGGTAATATTATTTACATTAAAATATATTTCAAAAGCAGGCATGGTATGATGACACCTTAAATCCCAGCACTCTGGAGGCAGAGGGAGGTAGATCTCTGTGAGTTCAAAGGCAGCCTGGTCTACATAGTGAGTTCCTGAATATGCAGAGCTACATTATTGACAGATAGGCCTTTTCTTTATGTTAATGAGTCTATATAAAGGCAGCTGTAGGATAAATATTCTTTTTAAATGACTCTGAAATATTTAGAGTATTTTGCACATAAAATAGGTCTGGGTGTCTAGTTAAGACAGTCTAGTTAGGCATGGTACTGCATACCTGTAATCCCAATACTTACAAGACAAAGGCTGAAGGATATTGAATTTGAGACCATCTAGCATGACCTTGTCTGAAAAACAGCTCATTGGTAAAACACTTATGTAGTATGCAGAAGGCCTTGAGTTCAGTCCATGGTACTGAAAAAAAAAGAATGAAAACCATGTAAGAGAAGATATTAAACATATCCTCTTCATTTAAAAGTCCCAATAACCAGGCAGAGTGGACGATGCTTGTAATCCCAGTACTTCGAGCCTGAGGCATGAGGATGTCCACCAGTTTGAGGCTTGTTCTACATAGCCAATTCCTGTCTAGCCTGGCTATACTGTCTCAAAACAGCAATAAAAAGTCCCTATAATTTGGTATTAGCACTCCTTGTAAATTATGTTGAACTTTGATTTCTGTCCTAATAAAGGGGAATATGCACAGTGATGAGTGAAACTTGGTGACTGACAGTGTTTAAAGGAGCACCACAGTGTTGGAAGTGCAGAAAGGAGAGGCAGTAAATCAGTATGGTGGCCATTCCTGTTGGGGTTTTGATTACACGTAAATTCTTAGAGTATATCTGATTAATGACCTAGAACACAAAACAATCTTATGTTTACCTACACATGTATAAGCTGATCTTGCAGATGACTGTTCAGAATTATAAAGTTATAGTATAAAGTATCTATAACTAATGCCACTTTAAAAATGTTTACTCTTGGACTAATGTTAAAGTTACATTTCTTATTCATATTAAGTAAATGTTAACAGAAGTGACCATAAAGAAATACTAAGTAGTCTTTTTCTTTGAGATAAAATCTTTTTGCCCATAATCTCTAAGTAGAATGTTCATTGATGAGTAGAAACTTAATTCTTAGAAACAGTCATAGGTATGTTTCATGTTTTAAAGTTGATTAATTATTAAGTTAGTAGTAAAATTATGAAATGTATCTTTAGAAAGTAAGTCTTACTTTAGTGGGCACAATGATTTTCTTTTGGCTTTATAGATTTTCTTTTTTTTTTTTTAAGATTTTATTTATTTATTATGTATACAACATTCTGCTTCCATGTATATCTGCACACCAGAAGAGGGCACCAGATCTCATAAGGAATGGTTGTGAGCCACCATTGCTGGGAATTGAACTCAGAACCTCTGGAAGGGCAGTCGGTGCTCTTAACCTCTGAGCCCTCTCTCCCCCCCCCCCTTTTTTTTTTTTTTTTTTTTTTTTTTTTTTTTTAATGCTGGAGCTGGAGCTCTAATCAAAGGCCCTGTAACTTCTAAGCAAGTGCTACCCTTATGCTACCTATAGCTCTAGGTCCCATAGATTTTCTTATACTATGTCGTGATCAGTCAGAAGAGGGTGTCAAATCCCTTAGAACAGGAGTTACAAATGGTTTTGAGCCACCATGTGGGTGCTGGGAGCCAAACCCAGGTCCTCTGCAAGAGCAGCAACTGCTCACAACCACTGAGCCATTTCTCCAGCCCCTTCCTGGTTGTTTTTTTTTTGCCACATACTACCCTTGAATCTGTTATTTCAGACTTTCCAAGTCTAAAGTAGAAACTTGGAATAAGTTGCTTAGTATTAATATTATTCATTAGAGGGTAGTGATATAGTTCTATGTATTAGTTGTGTGCTGTATTTTATATGTTATGGATCTAGAAACTGAACTACTGCTTAGTTTGCAAACAAGGAAATGTTTTAAATTCGTAATGATACTATGCATCAGCATTCTAAATAGCAATAATTTCCTTGGTATAAAAATGACTTTGAGAGCTAGGCAGTGACAGAGGCAGAGTCAGAGTCAGGTGGGTCTCTGGGGCTAGCCTGGTGTATGGAGCAAGTTCCAGGACATCTAGGCCTACACAGAGAAACCCTGTTGGGGGTGGGGGATGATGAGGACTTTGAAATTGTTAACCATTTTTGCCTTGTTAATCTTATTCTCAGTCAAGGTTTATGTTAATTATGAAATTGATAAATAATATTGTTATATTTTCCTATTTCAGTTATCTTGTCAATATTTCAATTGAATAATTCTGCTGTTTAAAAAATACTATAGAACTATACATTTAATTCTTGAGTTTTTAATTACTGGTATACTTTTCTAGCAAGGCACACTTTTACTGTTTCATCTCTGGAAAAATAATTAGAGAAGTCAACTTCTCATAATGACATAGTCCAGAAGGAACAGGTCCTTATAAAGTAAGTTAGAGACCAGAATTTGAGAGTAGTTGTAAATCTAAACTACTTGAAGGCTAGGTGCTAATGTCTCAAATTAGAAAGCCAGGCAAGTCAGCTTCCTTTACAGGGTCTGGAAATTTGATACAAAAATATATCAAATCCAAATTACTCTAAAACTCAGAATCCTATGAACAGTGTTGATAGTACCATTGTTATTTTTTCTTCATGTTTCTGGTAATTACATTTTTCTGTTTTTGAAAAGTTTATTCTCTGATACACACACATACACACACACATATATTACATTTACTTATTTAGTGTACATATGTGTGTGTGGGTGAATGCATGCCATGGTATACATGTGGAGGTCAGAGTGGAACAGGCCCCAGACCTTAGTAGACACCCCCCACCTTATCACATCTGATGCTATATTAGAAGCACCATTCAGGCCTTGAAACCCTGCATGGAGGCTGCAACACCTGCCAACACAGGAACAAAGGCTAAGTCAATGATTACAGGAAAGTCTCCAAAATGTACTAATGTACTAACTCTGCTTTAGTTTTTCGAGACAGGGTTTCTCTGTTTAGCTTTGGAGCCTATCTTGGCACTCACTGTGGAGACCGGGCTGGCCTCGAACTCACAGAGATCTGCCTGCCTCTGCCTCCCGAGTGCTGGCATTAAAGGTGGTGCCACCAACGCCTGGCAACATGTGGTTCCACTTCTTGCTAACTGAAATTTAGCAATCAGGATGTGTTTTTTGTGCATAACAGACAGAATTGGGGGGTTTGGGGCTGCATGATTTGGTCAGGCTTCCCTGTGCAATTATCAGCGGCAATAAAGACTTTGTCATTGGCTTTAAGAGTGTCCCTGTGGTGGTCTCTGGTGTGCTAACCTCACAATAAGAGGACAGCTTATAGAAGTTGATTCTTCCCTTCTAGCATGTGGGTCAGGTTATCAGGCTTGGCAGTATGTGCGTTTCCCTGCTGGGCCATCTTGTTGGCTCTTACATTTATTTGTTGAAGAGAAATTAGTTCCTAAATTCATTTCTTTTCTTTCTTTCTTTTTTTTTTTTTTGAGACAGAGACCCTGGCTGCTCTTGAACTCACAGAGATCCTCCTGACTCTGACTCTGGAATATAGGGATTAAAAGAGCATGCCACCATAGCCCATCTTGTTTTCATTTGTTGACCATTAAAGATTTTCACATGGAAAGTTTATGACTACTAAGTTTTTACATAGAAAACAATAGTCATAACTCTTTTTGATATTAAAGATTAATTCCAACTTGGGTGGGATGCAGTTTTATTTGGCATAGAAATGATTCTTACTGGTACCTATGAGGAATTATCATCCTCAAGAAAAATATGTAAATTGTGAATAATTATAATTAAGTCTTATCTGTGTTACATTGTATATTTTGATTATGGATTAAGATATTCAATTAAGTGTGTAAGGATATTTCTTCCTATTTTCAAACAGAAGTAGGATAATAAAAAGTAGAACTATATATGATGAAATTAATGAAGATGTCTTTGGGGAAATGGA